TTTTGCCAAGGGCCCAGATGAATACCTGCATAGGCAGTGAATTGTATTATAGCACAGGAACTCTGAGCTTGGGAAATCTACACCATTTTATAGCCAGAAGTATGCAAGCCTGTTTTTTGTTTCAAGGGAGACATTGCCTCGTCCCTCAAGGTTTCTCGTGCCAAACACAACCTTGAGAAATGGGCCATGCATTCCTGGCATGCTCAGCAAGATGTGCAGAAGAGTGAGAGACCCATGGAGGACTGTTTCTCCCAACAGGGGACACTGACCAGACTTTTAACCTTAAAGAAGCCAGGCTTTCTCCCTTTATTTCTTTTGGCTCCTATCTACTGAGTCATCCACTACTTCTACAAAATTATATCTGAACCTGTTATTCAGTTATTTAATATTTCAGTTAAATTGTCTAGAGATCATTTCACTTTCGTGTATATGGAGACTATTGATCATACTGAAATGATGAAAAATATGTTAACTTTCAGACAAGGCCCAAATATTCACATATTTTTACCTGGTTTAATACAGTGCATATAGTTATCTATCTTTCGAGCCAATCTCAAAAAGAAATTTCTTCTTACTTTTACCAATAGAAGTTTCATGTCTCATGTACTCCTAATCTCCCACTTGGGAGATATCTATTCCAAATAGAAAATAATTTTTGAGAATATATCTTTGAAAATTAAAAGAAAAGGTGGCTGGCAAAAACCACACAGCTCTGTTTTAGCTGAAAGGTCTGTGAAAACAAAGACTGGAGCTCAAACATGTTAAAACAGCCCCACAATTAAAAACTCCATGTTTCTTGCCTATGATAGTCCCTATACACACTCCTCTTCCCTCAACTGAGAGAATCAGATCAATGAAAATTAAAACATTTCTTAGCTCATTTGTCACATCTTTTCATACCTAAAACATTGGTAGAGTTCTGTCTTCTGCCTGGAAGGTTGCCACCATCTAGTTCACCAGAGTCTCTAGGACATCTTGGGACCTTCTCCCCTTCCCCTATCATTACCATTCCAGGTGTTTCTGTCTTAGACATTGGAATTTACAGTGTCTTAGTTTTTCTTACCAGTTAGAGTACCAACCCAGTCAGTCATTTCCTGTTCCAATTCCCACTGAAGAACTTCTGAAACATCTGCCAATAGAAGCAACTTGAAAATTGTTAAGTCTAGTTCCTTTCCTTTTAGACCATAATTTGTTTCGGTTCCACGTTCCCGACCGTCCAGAGTCCTGTAGCAGGCTGTGTGCATACCCCATTGAAACAATTTTTTCTCTCATGATCTATAACAAAGTTTTTGTGGTCGAATGCCAGATATCCCCTATATTCTTTTCCCGTTAATTCCCTGAATTCCCTCATGTATCTTTTTAGATTCTTGTACATTCATATTCATCCTATCTGACACTAGTTTTCATGGTGTCGCAATGGAGTAGTGATAGTATTGAAGGGAAAATACCACATAAGTTACAGAATGTAAAATTTGTTTAGCAGCAAAGGATACAGAAATATATCCATATGGTGATAGTTGCACAAAAACAGAGGATGACATAGCATATTCTCATTTGATGTTGTAAGTTTTTCTGGCATTTGAGGGCCCATTAGCTGACAAAAGTAGCACCTGATCAGGATAAGGATCCCATCAGGTCACATTTGTCATTCTTGGGTTGATAGGTGGGTGGGGGAGAAGGGAGGCTTATACCCTCCTGTTAAGTCTTGACTGTTGTGGAGACTTTGGCTATTGTACGTGACTACTCACCAGGTAGAGTTACCAAGTGCAAACTCCAGGATATGCCTGAGTGTTCACTGTCAATCAGTGTGAATTAGTTTCCAATCCTTCATCAAGACCAGACACAATGGCTTCCTGAAGTCTGTTCCTTAAAGGATAAGGGAAAGAATTTCTGCCTCTGGCAGTTAGAGAAACTACTTTCATGGGTTAAGACTATTGATCTGGCCATTCCTTAAGCCTGGGGAAGAGAAGATGGTTGGGGATATTTTTGATGTTTATGGTAAGATTAAATTTTATTCCTTCTCAGCATCATAACACAGAACATATAGGTTTATATACTTAAGAGATAATCATATTCATAAACCAAAATATTTACAGATAAAATAATACAATGTGTGAGATTTGCTTCAAAATAATCCAGGGTGAGGGAATTGTGGGAGGGAGGTAGTTTAGATGAAACATTGGCCACAAATTAAGCGGGTGATTGTGTTGAGTTTTTTATACTATTCTCTCTACATGTATGTATGTGTGAAATTTTCCATAATAAAAAGCTTTTTAAAAGATACAGAATCTTTTTTTTTTTCTGATCATACTAGCAGGAATTTTATTAATTTTGATGATTCTAAAGAAATAGCTTTTGTTATTTGATTTTCTCCATTGCTTTCTGTTTTCTATTTCATTGATTTCTGTACTTCTCTTTATTATTAATTTTATTCTGCTTAGTTCGGATTTAATTGGCTCTTGTTTTTCTAGTTTTTAAAGATAGAATTTTTTTTTAAAGATTTTATTTATTCATTTTGACAGAGAGAGAGAGACAGCGAGAGAGGGAACACAAGTGGGTGGAGTGGGAGAGGGAGAAGCAGGCTTCCCGCAGAGCAGGGAGCCTGGCGCAGGGCTCAATCCCAGGACCCTGGGATCATGACCTGAGCCTAAGGCAGACACTTAACGACTGAGCCACCCAAGCGCCCCTAAAGATAGAAATTTAAGTCCTTGATTTTTAAACCTTTCTGTTCTTTTTATATAAGCATTTTAATGCTATAAATTTTCTTCTAAGTACCATATGAATTGCATCTCATACATTTCAGTATGTCCTGTTTTCCCTTGTGATTTATTCTTTGACCTATGGGTTATTTAAAAGTATGTTGTCTAACTTCCAAACATTTGATGATTTTTCTATACATACTTTGATTGCTTTTTCTATACATCTGGCTCTGAAATCTATGCTTAGTATTAATGTAGCCACATCAGCTTTTTAAAAATTAGCATTCGCATGATCTGTCTTTTTGCTTTCAGCTTATCTGTGTCCTACTTAAAATGGTTTCTTGTGAGCAACACATAGTCGGGAATTTATTTTTTATGCAATCTGACATTCTTTTTCTTTAATGGGAGTGTTTAAGCCATTTACATTTAATGTGTTTATTGATATGGTTGGATTTTAATATGCCATTTGTTTTTTTCTGTTCTTCTCATTTACCTCTCTCTCTGACTTATTTCATTTTTAAGATTCCATTTTCTCTCTCATATTAGCTTCTTTGCTGTACTTTCTTGTTTTTGTTTTTGTGGTTGCTACAGAGTTTAGAGTAAGCATCTTTAACTTATAATAGTCTACTTTCAAATAACAATTTACCATTTGATGTAAAATATAAAAATTCTACAACAGTATACTTCCATGTTCACTATCCTGACCTTTGTGCTATTTAGTCATATATTTTATTGTGTAATGTATTTTATTATGTAAAATAATTATATGTATTTTATATTATATACTGCACAGTACAATGTTATTATTTTTGCTTAAAGAGTCAGTAATCTTTTAAAGAGATTTTTTAAATAAGAAAAAATTCTTTTACATTTACTTACATGAATACCATTTCTTATGCTCTTCATTCTGTTATATAGATTGAAATTTCCATTTGGTTTCATTTTCCTTCTTTTTGAAGGTCTTTAACGTTTTTTGCAGTGGTATTCTGGTAGTGGTGAATTTTCTCATCTTTTGTGTGTCTCATATGTCTCTGAAGTCTTTTGTTTTTATTTCTGAAGGACATTTCTGCTAGCTAGAGAATTTGTGGTTGACAGATTTTTTTTTCCTTTCAGTACATTAAATGTTGTTGCTTGATTATCTTCTGACTTGTATTGTTTCTAATGAGAAATCTATCATTCTTTGTCCTTCTTTACATAAGATGTCTTTTCACTAGCTGCTTCTACAGTTTTCTTTTTGTTATTCATTTTAAGCTCTTTGTTTATGATGTGCCTTGGCGTGATTTTTTTTGTTTGTTTCTTTTTCCCAAGGTTGGTTGTACTTCTTGGATCTGTAAGTTTATAATTTTAATTGAATTTGGAGAATTTTTATTCCTTCACATACTTTGTCCCTTCTCCCCTTCTCCAATTTCTGGGACTCCAGTTACACCTATATGAGACCTCTTTATGTTGTCTCACAACTTCCTGATTCTCTGTTCTTTTTTTTTTTCCAATCTTTTTTTCAATCTTGTTTCATTTTGGGTAGTTTCTTTGGCATTGTGTAATCTGTTATTAATCCTATCCAAGGTATTGTTCATGTCAGACATGGTATTTTTTTCTTTCTAGAAGTTCAACTTCCAGAAGACTTTATATCTTCTTTCTCTTCCTCGCACCTTCCAGGGCGTCTGGGTGGCTCAGTTGGTTAAGGGTTTGCCTTGGCCTCATGTCAGGATCCCGGGATCAAGCAGACTGCTTGTCCTTCTCTCTCTGCCCCTCCCTCTGCTCTCTCTCTCCCTCTCTCTCAAATAAATAAATAAAATCTTTTTTTTTTTTTTACTACTCATAACACTTTATTTTTTACTTTGTACAAAATACAAAAATGCAAATCCAAAGAGTACAGACCAGTAGTGACAGGCACACTGCACAACAGCAAACCTTGTCTAGCAAGACATTCGTTTTTTAGACTTTATTTTAGTGAATACATGCATTATAGAAAACAACAATGACAACAAAAACACTCAAAGAGGCTAGAGATTTCACTATTTCTACCCCTGAAATAATACTTACTATCAAGACTTTGGATGGGACCCAAACAAAAGAATTAAAAAGGCCAATAATATTCTTTTCATAAAAAAGTAAAAGCTATCATAAAATGTGTTGTTGCGGGTTTTTTAAATTTTTATTTTATTTATTTTTTTCCCCGTCACACTGATTCAATTTCTTCTGAAATGCCACACATGTAAACAAAACAAAACAAAACTCCTGAACTGGACAGTAAATACTCAAGAGGGTTAGCTCAGTAGTTTAAAGGATTTTTTTTAGACATTTTGAAGCCTTTCTATTCGTCAGTACAGTGTTCCAGCCATCCTGCCCCTTTTTCCCTTTGATATATATCCCAGAACAGAAATGCTTGCATCACTGAGTCTCTGTTCCTAAGAACTAGTTTTGAAAAAGAAAGTAATGTACAAAAATATTTAACAGAACTATGAAAGATGTAGGAAAGGAGTCTTGTTTTCATCGCAAAGGAGCCTTTGCATGGTTTCTCTTGTACACTCTTCAGGGTTTGTATATCTGACCCATGAATAAGACAGCACCTGTAGGATTATGTCGGATGAAAAATAGAAAAGGTCTGTCTACTGTAAACCAGGGAGGTAATGACCTTGCAATTAGAATCGCAGTTGTTGCTGCTGAAGCTTTGGTTCCATCTTCGCTTACTTCAATTTTTGCTTTCTGCAAGATGTGAGAAACATGCAGGTTTTCTGACCTTGTTATTTTTGCAAAATTTGCTTTTGATGGATCAAACATCTCAGTGATGCCAAGACCTTTCAGGGGCTCCTTCAGGTCTGTTTGTGCTACGGCTGTGAACTTGGGCAAGATGACCTGTACCCTCTTGGGCACCATGGCGCTCATCCAGCTGTCTATGGTCTTGGTGCTGATGTGAGGGATGATGGCCGACAACGGGGTGGAGCTCTCGGTTGGCAAGGCAATCAGCATGCTGATGCTTTCCCCGTGGTAGGGCAGTTCACTGAAGTTGTACCATAAATCGTTGGGGGTGCTTGTAGACCCGCATCGGAACACGGAGAGCTGGGCGAGCATGGGCACTTGATAGGACTTCCCATCGGCTGCCACAAACGTACGTTTCTTTGTATTCTCGGGTTGGAACCGTGATTTCCACAAACCCTTAAAATACACGGCATTGACCAGGACCAGTCTGGTGAGCGCACCATCGATGAGATTTGGGGAGAGCAGGTTGTCGATCATACCCCTGGTTTCGTTCTTGACCCACACATTGATGGAATCACAGGCGGAGGCTGGATCCTCAAAGCTCACATTCTGGACTTCACACTGAAACACGTCTTTGTTCCGGGTGACAAAGGGCACCTCCATCTTGAAGCCGTTCTTCACGAACACTGCATTGGCCACGGTCACAATGTCCTTATTCTTCTTGGAGCTGATGGCCTTGTTGATCTTCTTTAACACTTTACCGACTCCTTTCACGCTGTATCTCATCACCGTGGTGAGTTGCTTCTTGGTCCTGCCGTCGGCTCCCAGCTGAAGCATCCCCAGGACAGACGCGATCCCGTGGGGGGACACGACCACATTGTCATGAGGCCGGGATTTGACCATTTGATTGAAAACCTGGATTCCTGTGTTGGAGCCTAGTTCCTCCAGAGACAGGGGGTTGAACTGGGAGTACAGAGAGGGCAACGTCACTGTGGCCACAAGGAAGAAGGGAAAATGCCAATTCATGGTTCCTTTCGACAAGGACAACCACCCCTCGCTCGGGATCCCCAGGTGGCGGCGGTGGAGAGCGGCCGGAGCCGGAACCGGAGCCGGAGCCGGAGCCGGAGCCGGAGCCGGAGCTGGGTGGCGGCAGGGCGGAGAGTCGGAGGACCGGGAGCGGCGGTGGCAGCGGCGAGGCAGGTCGGGGAAGCGAAGAGGCGGCGGCGCCTGCGCTCGCCGCGCAGCCCGAGCAGCCCGGCAGTCCCACAGTGCAGATAAATAAAATCTTTATAAAAAATACACTCATGCCTTCCTCTACCTTATTGAACATACACAGACTATTTATAGTCACTGTTTCAAATGTCTTTGTCCACTAATTCTACCACATATGTCATTTTGGGGTCTATTTCTACTAATTGGTTTTTATCCTTTTTATTTTTAAAGATTTATTTATTTTATTTTGGAGAGAGCACACAAGCGGAGAGAGGGGCAAAGGGAGAGAGAAAAAAATGCTCAAGCAGACTCCCCACTGAGTGTGGAGCCCAGTATGGGACTTGATCCCAGGACCCCAAGATGACCACCTGAACAGAAATCGAGAGTCAGATGCCTAACTGACTGAGCCACACAGGTCCCTGGATTTTTATCCTTTTTAGAAGTTATATTCTCCTGCTTCTTTGCATGCCTGTTAAATTTTATTGAAGGTCAAATATTGTGATTTTATATTTTGGGCTTTGTTCTAGGACACAAGTTTTTTGGAAATAATTGTATCCTTTCAAGGCTGAGCTTTGTAAAGTGGGAGCAGAGTAACTTTTATTCTATGGCTAATTATTCTCACTAGTGAAGTAATACTCTTCTGAGGACTTTACTTGATACTCCATGTATTAGTAGGGCAATCTACTCTGATTGGAGGAAATATGAACTATTTCTGGCCATTATGAGCTCCAGGGGTAATGCTGTGTGATTCTAGTGGCGTTTTGTTGTTTGTCTGTTTGGCCCAACCTCCCTCCCTGCCCCCTCACCACCACCCCCCTCTGGAGGCCTGAGGGTACAGGAGACATTAAAGCCAAGAGTCCTGTCATTGGGCACTTTTGAGGACTCCGACGCTCAAATGCCAGGCCTCCTGTTGACAACTACAGCCTCTTGGTCTGAAGTCATCCATTTCCTTTTATTTGCTCTGCTTCACCAGTAGCATATCCCACCCCCAGCCTTGAGTCATTTCTTCTCATGCATGCAGAGATTAGTATTCAGTTCAAAGACCCGAAAGGGACACTTTGCAGATCATGGAAACTTTGTCTTCGGTTGTGTAGCACTCTCTTCAGTATTCTACCTTGCAAATTCTAGCTGCCATGGCCTCCCCAAATTCTGAAATCTGTTTCCTCAACTTAGAGACCATTGGGATCTAATCAGGTTTCCTCTTCTGAAGCCTAGAAGCTCACCTCATTTGTTTTCTTTCCCTCAGGGGTCACTGTCCTGTGCTTTCTGTGCTCCAGTGTCTGAAAAACATTGTTTCAGATAGTTTAGACAGTCTGTAGTTTTTTAAGGTAGGAGGGTAAATCTGGGCCTTGTTACTTCGTTATGGCCAGAAGTGGAAGTTTCCAATCCATTATCCTGAAAACAGGTAAATAAAAGCATCAAGTATTTTTCCTGCCTGTTTTAAAAGAACTGATTTTTAGTATAACAAAATAGTTGATGGGGGATGCTTATCTTTATAGGAGTTTTATAGATAACAGAAGAAAAAAGAATGAAAATTAGAATATCACCATTTTGTAAAACCCACATAATATAATGGAACTAGTTAATGATCTTAAGTTCTATAAAATTGCAATAGAAATCGAACCTGAATTTGATCAATTTACAGGAAATATTAGGAGCAATGGAATATGTTAAATAACATCATGGGAGTATATTCACCAAAATGTAGACTGCAGATTTTTTTAATGACATAAATAACTTGCTTCTTCAGCAAATAAAAAAAGAGAGAGAACCTATAGTTTAAAAGAGACTTAAGGACTAGAACTCATACAGGAATTCAGTAAAGTGGCAGGATATAAAATCAATGCACAGAAATCAGTGGCATTCCTATACACCATCAACAAGACAGAAGAAAGAGAAATTAAGGAGTCGATCCCATTTACAATTGCACCCAAAACCCTAAGATACCTAGGAATAAATCTAACCAAAGAGGCAAAGGATCTGTACTCAGAAAACTATAAAATACTCATGAAAGAAATTGAGGAAGACACAAAGAAATGGAAAAACGTTCCGTGCTCATGGTTTGGAAGAACAAATATTGTGAAGATGTCAATGCTACCCAGAGCAATCTACACATTCAATACAATCCCCATCAAAATACCATCCACTTTTTTCAAAGAAATGGAACAAATAATCCTAAAATTTGTATGGAACCAGAAAAGACCCCGAATAGCCAGAGGAATGTTGAAAAAGAAAAGCAAAGCTGGCGGCATCACAATTCCGGACTTCCAGCTCTATTACAAAGCTGTCATCATCAAGACAGTATGGTACTGTCACAAAAAGAGACACATAGACCAATGGAACAGAATAGAGAGCCCAGAAATGGACCCTCAACTCTATGGTCAACTCATCTTCGACAAAGCAGGAAAGAATGTTGAATGGAAAAAAGACAGTCTTTTCAACAAATGGTGTTGGGAAAATTGGACAGCCACATGAAGAATGAAACTGGACCATTTCCTTACACCACACACAAAAATACACTCCAAATGGTTGAAAGACCTAAACATGAGACAGGAGTCCATCAAAATCCTAAAGGAGAATACAGGCAGCAACCTCTTCGACCTCAGCCGCAGCAACTTCTTCCTAGAAACATCGCCAAAGGCAGGGGAAGCAAGGGCAAAAATGAACTATTGGGACTTCATCAAGATAAAAAGGTTTTGCACAGCAAAAGAAACAGTCAACAAAACCAAAAGACAACCGACAGAATGGGAGAAAATATTTGCAAATGACATATCAGATAAAGGGCTAGTATCCAAAATCTATAAAGAACTTATCAAACTCAACACCCAAAGAACAAATGATCCAATCAAGAAATGGGCAGGAGACATGAACAGACATTTTTCCAAAGAAGACATCCAGATGGCCAACAGATACATGAAAAAGTGCTCAACATCAGGGAAATCCAAATCAAAACCTCAATGAGATATCACCTCACACCAGTCAGAATGGCTAAAATTAACAAGTCAGGAAATGACAGATGTTGGCAGGGATGTGGAGGGAACCCTCTTACACTGTTGGTGGGAATGCAAGCTGGTGCAGCCACTCTGGAAAACAGTATGGGGGTTCCTCAAACAGTTGAAAATAGAGCTACCATACGATCCAGCAATTGCACTACTGGGTATTTACCACAAAGATACAAATGTAGGAATCCGAAGGGGTATGTGCACCCCGATGTTTATGGCAGCAATGTCCACAATAGCCAAACTGTGGAAAGAGCCAAGATGTCCATCGACAGATGAATGGGTAAAGAAGATGTGGTATATATACACAATGGAATATTATGCAGCCATCAAAAGGAATGAGATCTTGCCATTTTCAGCGACGTGGATGGAACTGGAGTGTGTTACGCTGAATGAAATAAGTCAATCAGAGAAAGACATCTATCATATGACCTCACTGATATGAGGAATTCTTAATCTCAGGAAACAAACTGAGGGTTGCTGGAGTGGTGGGGGGATGGGAGAGATGGGGTGGCTGGGTGATAGACATTGGGGAGGGTATGTGCTATGGTGAGCGCTGTGAATTGTGCAAGACTGTTGAATCATAGATCGGTGCCTCTGAAACAAATAATACAATATGTGTTAAAAAAAAAAAAGAAGAAGAAGAAGATAGGAGGGGAAGAATGAAGGGGGGGAAATCGGAGGGGGAGACGAACCATGAGAGACGATGGACTCTGAAAAACAAACTGAGGGTTCTAGAGGGGAGGGGGATGGGAGGATGGGTTAGCCTGGTGATGGGTATTAAAGAGGGCACGTTCTGCATGGAGCACTGGGTGTTATACACAAACAATGAATCATGCAACACTACATCAAAAACTAATGATGTAATGTATGGTGATTAACATAACAATAAAATTAAAAAAAAGAGAGATAGACTTAAGGAACATATCAACCAATTACTGTGTGTAGACCTTACTTAGATCCCGAATCAAACAAACCATAAGAACAAAAGCAAAAAACAAAAACACTATGCAACAACAATCAGAGAAATTCACACACTAACTGCGTATGTTACGACATTGAAGAATTAGTGTTAGCTTTGTTAGGTGTGATAAGGATATTATACTTATTTTTTAACAGCTTTATTGAAACAGAATTCACATGCCATACAGTTCACCCATTTAAAGTGTATAATTAATGACTTTTAGTACATTCATGGAATTATGCAACTAGAACCACAGTCTATTGTAGAATATTTTTATCACTCAACCATCCACCAACCAGCCCAGGCAACCACTAATCTACTTTCTGCCTCTCTGTATTTGCCCATTCCTTTGTGATTGCCTTCTTTCACTTAGCATAATTTTTTTCAGGATTCATATTATTATTGCCAAACAATATTCCATTAAATATAGAACTTTTATTTGTCCACTCATTAGTTGATGGATAGTTGGGTTGTTTCTGCTTTTTGGCTATTGTGAATAATGCTGTGTGAACATTCATGTACAAGTTTTTTTTGTGGGCTTACATTTTTATTTCTTTTGTGTATACCTAGGAGTGGAATTTCTGGGTGTGGTTACTTCTACATTTACTCTTTTGAGGAACTTCCAGACTGTCTTCCAAAATAGCTGTACCATTGTATATCTCCACCAGTAGTGTATGAGGGCTTCAGTTTCTTCACATCTGTGACATCACTTGTCAATACCTCTGTTATTGTAGCCACCTGTATTAGTTTCCTAGGAATGTTCTTACAAAGTACCTGATCCAGTGGCTTAAAATACCAGGAATTTATTGTCTTGCAGTTCTGGAGGCAAAAAATCCAAAATCAAGTTTTCAGCAGGGCCTTGCCTCCTCTGAAACCTCTAGGAGAGAATCTTGCCATTACCTCTTCTTGTTTCTGTTGTTTGCTATCAGTACTTGGTGTTCCTCAGCTTGTAAATGTGCCAATCCAGTCTCTGCCTCTGTTGTCACATGGTCCTGCTCTGTGTCTCCTTGTAAGGTATTAATCATAGAGGATTAAGGTCTCTCCCACTTTACCAATTACATCTATACAGACCCTATTTACAAATAAGG